TTTTCGCGATTGCTTGATACGAGAATTTATCTCCTGGTTCTCGCGATTCGATTTCTGCAATCGCTTCTTGAATCGGGTCCATATTGGTTGAGTTTTGACGCGTTGAAGTTTTGTTGTTGTGGTGGTGGGGGTGCTCAACTGGCGATGGTGCTCATCTGGTGCACGGGCACTGTAGTCCGGGAAATGCCATCGCGTCGACGCGCCTGTGACGTGAACATTCACTTTACCCCCCTCTCGATTCCGATCCTGAACAATGATTCATCAGAGGAGGCACATGCACTCGTTGAATTTCTCGCATCTCGTCATTGATCTATGAACTTCTGTTCGCCCGTACTGCATTTCTCTTCCGCTCATGCCTTCCGAGTTCACTCAGTCTACCCAGAGTGCTAGTACTGTCGATGCTACCCATGGGTAAAATCAGTACCACATCACCCGGTAAATGGACAAAGCCTTTTGATCTGTCAAGCGCAGAAAACATGTCGTAAACACCAACTCCTTTGTTTCAGATTTCGTACTCCGTCTTACCAAGCCTTCCTTTCGCACCCTTCCCATTTTTCAGTCTAGCCACTGTCGATCGTCTTCCTCCTGCACGGATGAATCTTGAAGTCGATGCCTATTCAGACATCTTCTATAATCTCAAATATTGCAAGAAGTGTTTTCCGGTTCTCGCTTGATACTGACATGGCCGCCAGGAGCTTTACGCTGGGTCGGCGCAGGCTCAAGTTGCACCAGAGACGGCTCAATCTCATGATACTCTTCAAAATGTTGTCCATTTGAATTTCCCCATCTGGTGAGTCCAGGATTGACAACGAACGCGACAACGCCTCTGCCGATGTCTTCACCGTTACGATTGGGAATCGAGGACATGCAGGTAGCTTCGAATCTTTCTCCAACCTCGGGCCAAGTGACTTGGATGCGGGAACGCTGCATTGCCATGTTCAAAGCCAGCGTGAACGCTTGATCAACAATGTCCGAGATATGCGAAAGATCGGTTTCCGGGTTGACCACGGTAAGATGCTGATAAAATTGGCGATGGATTCCCGCATCTCAAGCACCGAATGCTGTAGGTGGCGAGAGGTTCCGTGCAATCGCCGATACTCTTCATGTACGGAGGTGCCTCACAAAAGTTTTGTCCCACGCTAATCTCGGCGCTTCGGCATAACTCTTCTTGGCGCAACTCCCACCTTTGAGCTGAGTAGCTGTACGATTTGTCTGTATCTATCGTTACAATGTCTCCTAATACTGATCCTTACACCCGCACCTTAATTG